CAGCCTATAACAAGCTGTCTGTATAAACACACACACGCACAGCACCAAGCACACACACACAGACAAAGCTTTCTCTCTCATTCGCGCGCGCCCTCTAACACACACTCATAAGCACCAAGCACAAACACAGGCAATGAGGCAAAGCTCGCTCACACACACACACACACACATACACACCTCTCTCATTCGCGCATACATACATACATACATACATACATACATACAAACATAAATACACACACACACACACACACTCAAACACACACATATACGCAAACACACACACTGCAACAAACAAGCTAAACACAGCATTGCGCTATTTCATTTACACACATACATACGCGTGCTCACTCGGGAGTCGTCTCAAATTAAACCCGTTACCGACCGCTCCCGTGATTTATTCGGAAATTTATACCCGCGCTGTAGAAATCTGGTCGGGTCCCGCGCCGCCCGCGGGAATGCAGACCTCTAATTAAATGTAGATGCTGAATCACTGATGTGTGTTGGTTTGCACTGAGACTCAGTTCTGAGGGTTTATTTTATTCTCCAGATCTGAGCTGAACTATCTGCTGCTGCTTTCAGTAGTATGGCAATAAACGTCATGTGAAATCACCATTAAACTCGCATTATTAGCATTTAACACTGAATAAAGCACATGAGCTGCACCTGAAGCTGTGAGAAACAGAAGCCGTTTCTAAAATCTAAATTTCAGGTGTTGGTTTGGACAAAAACTCCCTTTAATATGGAAAATATTCCTTGTATCGCATGCCGTTGCTTTTATTTAGTACACGGCTTAAATCAGCGTTTAGGCTCGACAGTCAGGCTCACTCCTGTTGGTGTCGTCAATCTGGCAATCTGCACTTGCGTGAAGCCGTCAGAGGAGGAGCAGAGTGAAAATGTGTTTTGAATCAGGCGTGCAGTACCTAGTTCAACCACTGGGTGTCAAACTCACACACACTGCACACTTGAGGTGAATGTGAGTGTCTAGATGCTCCAAATCGCCTCTCTTCAGCGCACAGGGAAAGTTTACTGTGATGTTTCTTTCACCTTTTACTATGGAATTTCAAAAAGACGGACCGTAAATAAACAGCAGGCAGAAATGAGCAGGTAAAAGCGTCTTACATCTGGGCACATGTGCAGTACATCAACCAAAGCACTTTCAGGTGATTAAGTGTGGATGATGGAGAGAATTAAAGATGATAGCGTGAACATGAAGTGTTTTTAGACAAATCTGTTTTCAAATTGATCTGGATTAGTGTAGACGTAGCCTAAGACTTTATTTTTATTCCATAGTGAGCTGTTTGTTTATTTATATAAATGTTGTTGTTGTTGTTGTTGTGTTCAGTCCATCAGTCTCCAGTGTCCACACAGCGTCAGTCGCCCAGAGATCCGTTTGAGCTCGGAGACGCCAGCAGCCCATCCAGCTACTGTCCAGACTACACTGTACGAGCCCTGACCGACCTGCAGCTTATAAAGGTAACACATGCATGTGCTTGTATACATGGTTTACAGCAGGCATGTCCAAACTTGGTCCTGGAGGGTCGGTGTCCTGCAAAGTTTAGTTCCAGCCCCAACCAGAAACACCTGGGCTAGCCAATCAAGCTCTTACCATGCTTTCTAGAAACATCATGCAGGTGTATTGAAGCAAGTTGGAGCTAAAATCTGCAGGACACCGGCCCTCCAGGACTGAATTTGGACACCCCTGGTTTACAGGGACACTCCATAGATGTAATGTACCATATACAGTAAAAACCACTTCTGATATAGCCCTACCCCTAAACCCAGCCCTCACAGGAAACCCACAGAAGACTTCGTTAAATATGATTTTAAGTGTTTTGAATTAGAGGGACATGAGTTATGACCCTGTAAACCACCTTAATAGAGTACAGCTAAGTCACAGGTGTCAAAGACAGTTACTCGAGGGCCGCATCTTTGGACAGTTTAGTTCCAACCCTATTTAAACGCACCTGTTCAAACTAATTGAGTCCTTCAGGCTTGTTTGAAACCTGCAGGGTTGGAACTAAACAATTGAAAACTGCTTTCATTCTAGCCGAAATAAAACAAACAAGATGTTCTCCAGAAGAACAAACATTAGCGGAAATACTGTGAACAATATTTGATAAAGAAATGAACATTTCACAGGAAGGTAAATAATTTTGTCCTCAGCGATATTATATATATATATATATATATTAGTGCTGTCAATCGATTAAAAAAAATTACTAATTAATCGCACCTTTTTAAAAAAATTAATCGCGATTAATCGCATTTAAAATACTGAAACTTGTAATTTTGGCTATTCAAATGTAAAATTAATGTAAACGCAAGACAAAAACTATTTAAATTCAAAATATATTTTTTTATTAGAATTAAAATTCAAAATATAAATGTTTAATAGAATTTGTGTTTAACTTGTAACACAGATTTCTTCATGTAAACAACACACCCACAATAAACCATCAAGATCCTGGCTTGACAGCCATATTTATTACAGAAATTAAAACACAGGCATGTTAATGACATTAAATTTCAAAACAATCAATGCCAATAAAGAAGACATTGATTTCCATGTTGGATTCTAAGTGGACTGCAAAAAAATGCCAAAATACAGGAATTGCAGATATGGAAAATGAAAAATGATAATAATAAACTATAGAATACAAACTGTTGCACTCACTGTAAAGTTTTATTGCTGTGAGTTGAGAACATTAGTTATAGAGTAGAAACAATTTTGCTTAATCCTCCTTTACATTCATCCAGTTGCTAAGACTAGGAGTATCCCGCAAGTGCACAGACTCCCAAATACCCGCAAATGAATGATCATTTCTCGCAAACCGGTCATTAAATACATTGTACACCCCTCTCGCCCCTACTCAGATACGTCGCTCACTCCACCCCTGACACCCCTCAACGGGCCTCACACAGACACACACACAACGCGCTGCAGACGTTTTGGCCCCAACGGCCTTCCATACTGGAGCGACTCCCCTCAGATTCAACACGCATGATCACGTTCATCAAATTTGCTTAAACTAAGCGTCCTAAAGTGTTACTGTATTTCACAAGGATTCTAACACAACATTGCGACGCATACGCTTTCATTGCGTTTAATGAGGAAACACGCTAAACTTGGAGGCTCATGCTGAAAGGCAGAGTAATGCCCTGTCTTTGGCAGCTCGCGACTTCACCTGAGACGTTCTGATACTCCGATTTTAATATGATTAAGATTATACTCTTATTAAAAGTCTACCGTGTAGCCTAAGCAGTGATTTTATTACCTTAAAGGAACACCGAGTCACGAAATGCGGAGGATTTTCTTTCTGTTCGCCATGCGGTATAACTTACAACAGAAGAAGTCGAAAGTTAAAACTGAAACACCCAAAATTGCATGAAGCTTAATTTAAATATTGGCTCATTTTCTCCAGTAACTCCACCCAGTAGTGTAAATATGGCTGAAGTCTGTGTGTGTGTGTGCGTGTGTGTGTGTGTGTGTGTGTGTGTGCAGGTGACGCGTCTGCAGTATCTGAACGCTGTGATGGCGTCGCGTGTTTCTCAGAGTCCAGAACCGCCGGAGATCAAGATTCTGCCGAACAGCCAAACTAAACTGCTCAACCAGAAGAACACAGCGCAAGGTACATCACAACACTGACCTGAGAACAGCTCTAATATCTAATGCTCAACATGACTTCATTGTGTTTGTTGTAATCAGACTTGATGCAGAAACACTTTGATTGACAGTCTCCTTTTGTACATGTCATGAGAGAGTGAAAGCCCCGCCCACTAGTGCCCATATCTCCATCTCATTAGCATCTCCAGCAGGCCTGAGTGAGAAGCAGCCGTCTGTCCATTCGCCATTAGAGTGTTTGAGCTGCTGAAGATGATGTCAGCATAGACTAAGAGGATTATAGATGTGGAGTTCTAGATGAACAGAGACAGGAGCCACATAGACTGACAGAAGCATCAAGCACACATGCACACCTGACCAGCACTCACAACACAGCTAGTGCTGTTTTACATCTGCCACAGCGTCTGTAGCTCCGCCCTCTTCTAAAAAGAGCACAATCTCATTTGCATTTAAAGCGACAGTCACCAAAACGCCACAATCAGGATTAAAGCCTGTAAGGGTCAGTTTCAGAGAGCTGGAGAACATCATCTGTGTGTTATTCTCAGCTCAAACACACACACACACACACACACACACACACACACACACACTAGAGACTTAAAAGGGGCGTATCAGGGTCCCCTTAAATCATTAGTCTGAGGTAACTAGTCTACCATTATGACTATACAAAGTGTTTTGATTGGCTAGTTCTTGTCACACACACACACACACACACACACACACACAATTATGAATTAAATATATATTAAAAATAAATTAAAATATATAATTGAATATAATATTACATTAATTAAACATTAATATATTAATATAAATTATAAATATAAATTGTTAACATTAGTTATTAAATATATCTTTATTGATCAGATTGATATAGAATAATAATAATAATAATAAGTCTATATGAACTATATTGTCCACTTTAGATGACACGGTTATATCCATGACATGACGCATTATGAATACGACAGGTGTATTAAGCATGCTCATGTCAGCAGTGGTCTTGGTAATGTCATGTTGTATGTGAAGTTTTTAATATGACAGAACTGAGCGAATGACACTTAGTCACAGCAGACATAACCTCATTCATATTCATAATGTGTCATATCAGGATTATGAAGCGGTCATCATGTCTTATGGACACTTATGCTTTCTGAATCAGCCACAGTGTTACTCAATATTGCTAAAATTAGCGATAGTGTTGCGTGTGTGCTTTTATCGTGACAAATCACCCAAAAATAGTGTGTCTGACTGACTAGCTCTAAGGTGACGTTGGTGAATGAGCAGCGGTTTCTGCTGTTCTGACGTCGGCTGCAGATGTGTACGAATCCATGCAGAAGGGTTTTCAGACTCTCTGTGTTTGATTTTCTTTCTTATATACATGATTATGCTGTCGAACTGTTGTATAAATGCAATAACACACGAGTAGCTGTGCCATGTGGCTGTATATCGGCACTGGTGGGACACTAATGCACTGAGCCTGCAGCCTTGAGCCAACACCTGCCTCCCACCAGTGCTGATATACAGCCATATCTCACTGCTGTGACTGTGATATTGCTTGTGTGTGTGTGTGTGTGTGTGTGTGTGTGTGTGT